GTTGATCAGTCTGAGGCAACCTCTGCTGCCTTGGAACATTGGAGCAACTGGTCACGACATGCCAATAAAATACATAATCTAGTCTGATCACCAAAGTCTATATTCCCAACACTGCTGTCAAGATCAGGAATAGTAAAAGAAACATGGCATATTTAGGAAGCGCACAGGAAATAACAATATAGGTCATGGCCTACATTGTCATGTCATGGCTTTTAGCTCACTTTCAGCCTAGTTCCATTTCGGTCTAGTTCCCTTTGGTGTTTCCTGAGTGCCAGTCTGTCGGTGCCGTCGTGCCTGAGTGCCAGTCTGTCGGTGCCCTTGTGCCTGAGTGCCAGTCTGTCGGTGCCGTCGTGCCTGAGTGCCAGTCTGTCGGTGCTATCATACGAACTCGTCACTATTATCATGCCTAATGTTTGCCTTGACAATGACAGCATTGGAGTTGGCAAGAGAACAAAACCAGATCTGAGACCAGGCTACAGTACTTGTGGCGTTCACAGGTCCTAGAAGGCATTTTACACTCCGGCATTTTCAAAAGGTAAGGTTCCAAAATGGAACCAGGTATGGAACAAAAGTAGCAGAGAGCCTGAACCGTGCTGTTATATGCTCTGTGATATCAAAGTTAGTAATGGTATATGAACAGAACAGCTCATCTGCTTTGACTGAGACAGCAAAAATAAGGCTCCATTATTGTTTTTTCTGCTGACCACTTTTTCTTGCCGTTACCCATAATGTTCAGGGGACAATCATCTCTTTGCATTGTTATTGTCGCTTCTAACAATTGTTGCCATACCATTGTGTTGCTGTACACACCAGGTGAGAAACACCACACTGCTTAACCCCATTTATGAAATATTGATCATTTCTAATCTGCATCAGTACAAACAAATTCCTTGTTTTCCAATAACCACGGCTAAAAACGACCCACACACCTAATAAATAGTAACAGCCACACCATTGAAAAGATGTGTAAGTTTAATCACATTGAAGAACTGCCAAATGATTCAGGAGGAAACTTACATTTTTAAAATCACATTTCAGGAGCTACCAGGAACGCCAGTCGTGTTGAAAGGAAATGTACCAGTTATCAGGAGGCAACATGTTGGTCTGGAGGTGGCCTCGCGTTGACGCTATCCTAATGCATAATGGAATCTGGGGTGTTTTTATCTCAGATGTTAAGACACCCATTTAGAGGACTTTGAGTAGTTCTGGACCGGTTCCGACTGACATTTTGGTGTACAAAGCGCTCTGTTAACGTCGTAGGGTCCAGTGTCTTAAGCCAGAAAGCCCCTTCTGTCTGCTCTCCTCTGCCACTCACACACATATTGGCAACATATTATCAATACAAAGATCAAACTCTACAGACAGTATGCTCCCAATAACAGATTCCTCTTACAATAGTAGGCCTATGTGATTTTGTAAATCGTTCGTAACAATCGTTCGTTCACGTCTTCAGATGGTAGAACTAGGTACAACCTCGGAGCTTAGTGCCAATTTTCAGTCATGTTCCCATGTATTGCATTAAACTTTTCAGCCCTTAATCTTAAATTCAACTCTTAAATGTTGTAATGTGTCACATGAGATCCCCTTGATTACCAGAGAGAGATCAAGACTGTTGTATTATAAAGACATTGGCCATTACAGTAATCATGAAGCGTGAATCAACTGGCTGGTTGGTTGGGAGAGGACATTTTTGCACACAAGATTAAGAGCATCATCATCGCACTTCAAAAATACCTGTAGACTCACACAGGTCAGTAGTCAAAATAAAAGGGTCAATGAGAGTTGAAAACATATGTAGTACAATTAGAAAATAAAATATCACCCTAACAAATTTGGTTAATATCTAACTGACAAGCTGTTTGATCTTCTGACCCGTTCTTGGAAGATTTGCCAGTTCGACTCCTATGCATGACACCAGGCAGAGGCGAAAACACATTCAGATCAGCATTAAAGTGTGTGACCACGAGTCAGACAAACACCACAATCATAGTTGATAGCGGAGCCTGAACTTCAATAATGAGGAGAGTAAATGACAAACAATGAAATCAAATGTTTTCTTCAGATTTCCTCCTCTAGTGAGCGTGTCACCAGCAAAGGCAATCCGTCATTTTGGGAGTTGCTCATTGCTCAGACCCAAAAGCTCACTGGGTCTCAAAAAGATGCCAGTCAGTCACATATCATAAAGCATATTGCACAAAAGGTTTGGTTGCAAAACAACCTAAACATTTCCATTATTTTTCTGATTCAGTCTGAATCAAAACCAATAGGGACCGTTTCAAAGCACCACTTGCATCATAGTGCTTGCTTCTCATACAAGGTTCACATTTTTTATCACATTGATCTCTTTATTATTAAATGTCAATGTAATTTTAAATAAGTCAATATCTATGTTGGTAAGGTGTGTGTGTCTGTGCAGTTTGTCACACTTCTCTGTGCCAGTGAGTGTTTGTATGCGTTTGGACATGATGTTTCCTGCTAAATAAATGACCACCTCTTCTCCACTGGTCCGTTCCAGTGCAAGATGAGCCAACGGGCAGTAGTAGCAGTTATATACAGTGGGGGAAAAAAGTATTTAGTCAGCCACCAATTGTGCAAGTTCTCCCACTTAAAAAGATGAGAGAGGCCTGTAATTTTCAGCATAGGTACACGTCAAATATGACAGACAAAATGAGGAAAAAAAATCCAGAAAATCACATTGTAGGATTTTTTATGAATTTATTTGCAAATTATGGTGGAAAATAAGTATTTGGTCACCTACAAACAAGCAAGATTTCTGGCTCTCACAGACCAGTAACTTCTTCTTTAAGAGGCTCCTCTGTCCTCCACTCGTTACCTGTATTAATGGCACCTGTTTGAACTTGTTATCAGTATAAAAGACACCTGTCCACAACCTCAAACAGTCACACTCCAAACTCCACTATGGCCAAGACCAAAGAGCTGTCAAAGGACACCAGAAACAAAATTGTAGACCTGCACCAGGCTGGGAAGACTGAATCTGCAATAGGTAAGCAGCTTGGTTTGAAGAAATCAACTGTGGGAGCAATTATTAGGAAATGGAAGACATACAAGACCACTGATAATCTCCCTCGATCTGGGGCTCCACGCAAGATCTCACCCCGTGGGGTCAAAATGATCACAAGAACGGTGAGCAAAAATCCCAGAACCACACGGGGGGACCTAGTGAATGACCTGCAGAGAGCTGGGACCAAAGTAACAAAGCCTACCATCAGTAACACACTACGCCGCCAGGGACTCAAATCCTGCAGTGCTAGACATGTCCCCCTGCTTAAGCCAGTACATGTCCAGGCCCGTCTGAAGTTTGCTAGAGTGCATCCAGAAGAGGATTGGGAGAAAGTCATATGGTCAGATGAAACCAAAATAGAACTTATTGGTAAAAACTCAACTTGTCGTGTTTGGAGGACAAAGAATGCTGAGTTGCATCCAAAGAACACCATACCTACTGTGAAGCATGGGAGTGAAAACATCATACTTTGGGGCTGTTTTTCTGCAAAGGGACCAGGACGACTGATCCGTGTAAAGGAAAAATGAATGGGGCCATGTATCGTGAGATTTTGAGTGAAAACCTCCTTCCATCAGCAAGGGCATTGAAGATGAAACGTGGCTGGGTCTTTCAGCATGACAATGATCCCAAACACACCACCCGGGCAACGAAGGAGTGGCTTCGTAAGAAGCATTTCAAGGTGCTGGAGTCTCCAGATCTCAACCCCATAGAAAATATTTGGAGGGAGTTGAAAGTCCGTGTTGCCCAGCGACAGCCCCAAAACATCACTGCTCTAGAGGAGATCTGCATGGAGGAATGGGCCAAAATACCAGCAACAGTGTGTGAAAACCTTGTGAAGACTTACAGAAAACGTTTGACCTGTGTCATTGCCAACAAAGGGTATATAACAAAGTATTGAGAAACTTTTGATATTGACCAAATACTTATTTTCCACCATAATTTGCAAATAAATTCATTAAAAATCCTACAATGTGATTTTCTGGAATATTTTTTCTCATTTTGTCTATCATAGTTGACGTGTACCTATGATGAAAATTACAGGCCTCCCTCATCTTTTTAAGTGGGAGAACTTGCACAATTGGTGGCTGACTAAATACTTTTTTTCCCCACTGTATATATATTTTTTTTAAGGGTCTGTTAATGCAGTTCCTAAAACAGAAAGCAAAGAAAGAGGATCTCTATACAAGGACTCAGGAAAAAAGAATGACAAATTAACAAGCAAAACGACAGCAGAGAAAATATGACAGAGGGAGATCGGTGAACGCCAGTCGCGGGAACAGAGGGGGCACTTCTTGGAGTCAGTTCACTGTTCTGCGATGATGCCAGTTGTGTTTTTAGGTTCTGGCCGTCAGTCGGTCAGTTAGTCACGCTTGGCGTCCCCTCCCCTCTACCATTTTGTAGGCCTACGCTGGGCAGCGGAAGATGGCAGCTTAGTTAGCCGGGAGCGTCAGTGTTAACTGCGCATCTGTAGAAAGTAGAGCCTGGCTAGTGGTTCCTCCCAGTTCTGGGTCCATTGTCCCCACCCACAGAGTCAGACACTCATCAAAGTGCTGTCCAGCATTGGGTCACCTCCTCTACGCTCCTTTGGGAAGTTCACACCACCTTTCCAACCATCACAGTGCACACACGTTGATTGACAAGCTAGGAAAAGTAAAACAGGCAAGGTTCCCTGGTGTGGTCAGCACAAACCAACCCCCTCAATTCGCAGGTGCTCATATTCTTCCATTTACCCCTGCCCCACACTCTAAGAACAGAAGAATAGACGTGGAAGTGTACGCGTATGCTCGCTTGGAGTCACTGTGTGAGAGTGGAACAGAGTGGGATCATGAGTGGAAGTCATGAGCTGCGTTGGGTGGGAGTTCTCCCCTCTGTGCTGTAACACCTTTGGAACATGGGGGGGATTGTGGGTGTGTGGGGTGGGAGGGTAGTACTGGGAGGAAGCCAGCAAGGAGCATGTGGGTGCATGGTTGGGGGGGGCTCAGCTGGCTGTGGCGCGGGACATGAGGTCCTCCAGAGCCTTTTCCTGGTCATTGTTGTGCACCAGCAGCACCTCCTTGATGGTGTCCCTTTCAAAGCCCATCTCGCCAAACCGCGTCATCAACGACAGGAACTCTAAGGACTGAGGAAATCATGAAAAACATACATTGTAATTGGGAATTCTTGTTACGGATTGTTTCTGTACAATTTAACTTGAAAAATCAGATAAATGGATTGTTTAAAAAAAAACATTTGCAAGGAACCCGAACAGATCAATGAAATTAGGCTGGATTAGACAGAATAATAAGCTATCTAGTTAGTAATATAAAGTTATCATTTACAATCAACAATGTAGTTATGAATACATGTGGGTTGGATTTTCATTTTGCCTACAAGTAGCCGTACGCAGGCGCTAACGTTCATAAAAGAGCTTCACACTTCCTTCTGATGTTGCTTGATCAGCATGTAGGCCTATCAGCTCGCCAAAATGACATGAACAATTATACTAAATATATTAACAGTATTGCAGTCATTTCTGCAGTTCTGATTTTATTTTAAGGTAGCAATGCAATCAAATCCCTATCCTAAACTTGTTGGAAGCATCTTGCTGTCATTCGTTAGCCATGTCATTTTGAGCCGCTGCTTTAAATCATTGAGGTGTTGGGAACGAGCGCACAGGCGAGAAGGGGTGCAAATTGGGATTGGGCTCCTTTCAGCCTAGTAGTAGCAAACGCAGTCTTCCCGTTTTCCAATTAGTCATCAATCATCGTTGAAGCTGACAGCGGACTTCTCAGATAAATAGCGATGTTGCATTTTGTTTGATTTAGCTAGTTAGTTGTCATTACTTTGAGCTCCAAATTACCTCTAATCAATGATTACTTTGCATGGTCTCAACATTTGGGTCTCCATGACTATCTACTTTAATATGGACGCAAATAAATAAAGACTGATAAAATCAGTCTCAAGGCAAGATGGTGAAGGGAATGGGCAGCCTCATGGATATGGTGGCCAGCGCTGGATCCAAGGCGGGCTTCACCATGGAGCACTCGACTAAGGTAAGAATGATGACCTAGTGGTTTGTGTGTGTTAGAGATCTGTGTGTTTGTCAGAGAGAGAGAGTCAAATGAATTAATATCAATATGAATTCAAACCTTCTTGCCCACTGCCATCCGGGCCTTCAACAACACCAGGTCGCAGTCACACGACACTACCCTGTCACTTTATTTGCTTTTGCACACTAGTACTGTACTATTTTACTTGCCTCTACAGTGCAATGTTTGGTATACTCAGTGCCTTCAGAAGGTATTCACAACCCTTGACTTGCTAATCAAATGGCTACCAATACTTTTAATTTTATTTTGGCTGAAGTCAATTTTAAAAAGCTCACAACTCAGAGTCTGATAAAAGACATCAGTGATTTACGAATATCTGGATTTGGGACAGTTTGTAATTTTCAGAAATAGTCAATTTCACGATATGAAGGATTTCCCGAGACCGCCACACATTTGAGAAGAAAGGTGGAGGGAGGAGAGCGGCACATGCTTGGTGTATTTAAGTACAGGGAAAACTGGAAGTGAACCCTACCTTAGGCCACTCAACATTTCTGTGTTTGATCATCAGAGATAATGGAGTTAGCTAGCGGTCCTAGCTGCGTCTTTGATTCTGCATGTTGAGTTAATGTGTATAAACATGCATATCAGTGTATGTGATGGTAGAGACTGTGGGTGGACTCACCTTCTCTTCAGAGCACTGGTACATCTCTAAGCACTCCTCTACGGCACTGGGCTCAAATCCCCGCTCACAAAGACGCGCATGAGTAAACAGGTACTCCAGCACCTGGGTCACAGGATGACAGACAAAGTTGATCTTTAGGTGTGGGCTTCATGTGCAATTCCAAACTGTTTATCTGCTAGGTGGTGTTACAAGCCGAGAGAAAGATAATTATGACTGCAAATATGATGGTGACCAAATTCACCTCCAAGATTCCTTCCAATGACAAAATTCATGAAATAGCTACTGTTGGAATTTAATAGAAATACATTAATATTCTTTGTTGATTAGAGGGATAGCTAAATTCACATGATAAAATATTGTACTTGCGTGATGCTTGAGGATAAATTTTTCAATTTGAGTCATTTAGGTAGCCAACAAAGCTAACTGGCAAACATATCAACTACCACTGTGTGTCATTACATTGTTAGCCAATGTTTATTCACAGTTAACAAGCCCCTAACGAGTGTCTCCTACAGTATTACTGTAATCATTCACTGCAATGCAATCATAGTGTTGAGGCATTAAACCAAGGCGGTGGATGGTGTGTTTTGCAATTCATTTATTCACAACCACCATCCTCATCTTGTTGCCTGGTGGACCTTCTTGTGAACACAGACAATCACATAATGCTGGCACCTGATGACTTCAGTCATCCATGACACACAGAGAATTCTTCGGGCGCAATAAGCAGTGAGTGGGTGACATCACAGAATCAAATCGAACATTTCTTTATAAGAGATCTGCGTAGAGAAAACGGGCCTAGGCTTCTGTGGCAGGGATGAGGGAGAGCAGAGGGGCATACCTGCTCCACATTCTGGCCTTGCCTCTGCATGGCCCGCAGGACCCCTTCGTAGGTGTAGCCCATGGCCACGACGGTCTCCACACATTGCCGCCCACTGGGGGACAAGTTGAGCAGCGCCGCTCCGCACGAGAGAGGGGGAGGACCTGCATTTATCTATGCAGAGAGAGAGAGAGAGTTTTTAAAGCATCATATCTGTTTAAGAGTCCAAAAAAAGCCTATTATTCTGGTCCACAAAACTTCTAAACTTTTCAGAAGTTTGAAAGAATTAAGCAATACATTTAGTCATTGAAACTAAGCAAGGCCCACTACACTTTGTGTGTGTGTGTGTATGTGTGTGTAAGATCACCTGATTTGGTGCCCCATGTTGGGTGTGCCTGGGTGGCTCCTCGGTCTTCTGCTGGGGTGCCGGTGGGCTGCCGTTGGATAGGCTAGGTGGTACAGGGGCTGGAGAGTAGGAGTCACATGACAAGTCCCCGGGGTCCGACAGCTTGGGGAAGGTGAGCGAGCGGATGTTGCAGGGCCGGTCGGGATCCATTGTCTGTCCCTGGGCCATACCCCCCACTGTGTCCATGTCCAGTAGCGCCACCAGTCCGTTGGGTTTGTGGGCAAAGGCCGTTTTGGCCGGAAGGCTGGTGGCGGAGAGCTGGGGTGGAGGGGTGCTGCCTCGTGATGCCGGCTCGGGCTGGGGTTCCTCAGACTGCTGCTGGCTCTGGAGGATGTTGCGCAGCTCCTCCCTATCGTCCAGTGTCTTGAGCTCCAGCTTGTCAAAGGGGTCCTCCTCGCGCTCAAAGTCAGCCAGGTTAAGGTACTGTGGCTCAGGGATGCTAGGAGCGTTCTGCCTGGCGGGGGCGGGCAGCGGGGTGAGGATAGCGTTGTGGCGCAGGGCGGCCATCAGCGGGTTCATTGCAGGCGGGAGAGCGTCCTGCTCCTCGGCGGGGCGGGGCCTCTTCCCCCCGCCGGCCAATCCTCCGTCAGGGTCCTGGGCGGGGGGCGAGTGCTCCCTGCTCTCCAGCTCCGTCCTGGCCGTCTCTCCAGCTCGGACCTCCGCCGCCCTGGCCTCGGCCAGCTCCACCCCCCAGCGCACACTCCGCCTCTCCAGGGAGAAGTCATACTGCAGTGCCCAGAGAAGAGAGACAACCAGCAGGACTAGTTAGTGAGCAGCAGTAGACACGGGACTAAAGGAATGGAGATTAATCAACCCAGGTGAGTTAGGTCTGATGGGTATGTCCACATTACTGATGCAACCAGGGTTCAAATGACACAGCTCAGTGCCCAACAAATAATGGGATGGATTGGACCAAGACATTTCAATATTTACAGAGGTGCCCCCCTAATACAGACTAATATTACGGGGATGCAATAAAAATCACCACCAAGCATCACAGTCATTGAAACGCTTAATGCAACATTGCCATAAGTCCGAAGACTTACCTGCAGGTCTGCGAGCACAGAGCCACAGTCAGGCAGGCAGAAGCCAACAGGAAGGCCCACTTTGGCAGGGCAGCGGAACTTATTGTTGATTTTAAAGGGAACGTCATCAAGGTAGCTGATGGGTCCTGGAAAAACAGGTTGAGAAGGCCTAAATGAAAAATGACACCATGATGCAAACGCAGGAATAAATTAAACAAAATGAGAAAAGAGGAAGTGGCTGAAAGACAGACACACTCACCATTGTTGTGGGTATCAGACTTCCTCGCAGCCATTTAGAGTCTGTAAAACACACAGGGCTCTTGAATGAGTGAGAGATGCCTTAGTGGAAGCAGTGAGGGTGTTTTCACACAGTCCTCTTTAAAATAACCGATCTCAGTCCTCTTAAAATGAACTCTGGAGTAAAAAAAAAAAAACAGCAAAATAACTCTGTTCTCTGTGTTCACACTGCCCTTGCCTTTGAGGATTCAACTATTTGCCAATTCACTTCATCTATTTTGTGGACAGAGTCCTCTGCATTCACATTGCTATGTTTAGAAAGGAACCAAGATTTTCCCAACATGCACTCTGGGTTTTTACAACATGTAGGAATGCATTATTGGACAGCTAGATATACGTACTTACATTTTGAAAGCTAATAGATTGCCTGCATTTAGTTAGAATATGAGACCTAATAATTGTAATCAGAAGACGCTATTAATGTGTCAACTGGATTGGTAACAGAATAAATAGCAATAGAATAACTGCAGAATAAATAATGCTGTAATTGAAAATTGTACACCCAAGGTAGGCTACTACCCCTTTAAAGAGCTAGAATAGATTGTGATTCTAACCAAATATGTAGTCTTCACACTATTCAAACCCCACAATCAACAAACAGCCTATGATCACATATTGCAAACAAATCATCTGAACTATAAATTCAACAAATTTTGACATTTCTGTGGGTCGTTGACAATCGCTAATCAATATCCAAAACCAGCAAATATTTTCAGCCGAACCTGCACATTATCTTCTTGCTTTTGTTACACCAATTTGAGGGTTTATGGGAAAAGGTGTTGCAGTAGTCTAGTGTGTGGTGCGGGAATAATGACAAGCAAACCTGGGGCGCTTTGTGTTCACATTGTACAAAAAAGGGAACCGGACTGCAGAATTCAAGAGAACCAAACTCAGACCACCTCTCGAGATTAATTCAGTTCGGGGGCTCTTTTTAAGGGTCTGAGTTCATTTGGAGTGTTCACACTGCACACAAAAAATGACTGAAAGGGACCAAGTGTGAAAACACCCTGAAACAGGACAAAACCAAGACATCAACACCATATCCATTATACAGTGAGTTCGGAAAGTATTCAGACCCCTTGACTTTTTCCACATTTTGTTACATCCTTATTCTAAAATAAAAAAAATATGTGTTATGTTATCCCTCAATCTACACACATACCCCATAACGACAAAGCAAAAAATCTTGGCAAATGAATTAAAAAAACAGAAAAATCACATTTACATAAGTATTCAGACACTTTACTCAGTACTTTGTTGAAGCACCTTTGGCAGTGATTACAGCTTCGGGTCTTCTTCAGTATGACGCTACAAGCTTGGCACACCTGTATTTGGGGAGTTTTTCCCATTCTTCTCTGCAGATCCTCTCAAGCTTTGTCAGGTTGGATGGGGAGCGTCGCTGCACAGCTATTTTCAGGTCTCTCAGAGATGATCGATCGGGTTCAAGTGGGCCACTCAAGGACATTGAGACTTGTCCCAAAGCCACTCCTGCAGTGTCTTGGCTGTGTGCTTAGGGGCCAAATAGTTCAATCTTGGTTTCATCAGACCAGAGAATCTTGTTTCTCATGGTCAGAGTCCTTTAGGTACCTTTTGGTAAACTCCAAGCGGGCCGTCATGTGCCTTTTACTGAGGAGTGGCTTCCATCTGGCCACTTTACCATAAAGGTCTGATTGGTGGAGTGCTGCAAAGATGGTTGTCCTTCTGGAAGGTTCTCCCATCTCCAAAGAGGAACTCTGGAGAGCTGTCAAGAGTGACCACCGGGATCTTGGTCACCTCCCTGACCAAGGCCCTTATCCCCCGATTGCTCTTTTTGCCCGGGCTGCCAGCTCTAGGAAGAGTGTTGGTGGTTCCAAACTTCTTCCATTTAAGAATAATGGAGGCCACTGTGTTCTTGGGGACCTTCAATGCTGCAGTATTTTTTTGATACCCTTCCTCAGATCTGTGCCTCAACACAATCCTGTCTCGGAGCTCTACGGACAATTCCTTCGACCTCATGGCTTGGTTTTTGCTCTGACATGCACTGTCAACTGTGGGAGCTTATATAAACAGGTGTGTGCCTTTCCAAATCATGTCCAATCAATTTAATTTACCACATGTGAACTCCAATCAAGTTGTAGAAACATCTCAAGGATGATCAATGGAAACAGGATGCACCTGAGCTCAATTTCGAGTCTCATAGCAAAGGGTCTGAGTACTATGTAAATAAGGTATTTTTTATATTTTAATAAATGTGCAAACATTTCTAAAAACCTGTTTTCGACTTTGTCATTATGGGGTATTGTGTGTAGATTGATGAGGATTTTTATTTATTTAATCCATTTTAGAATAATGCTTAACAAAATGTGGAAAAAGTCAAGGGGTCTGAATACTTTCCAAATGCACTGTAAACTCTATCCCAGCCTGGCCATACCTGACCAGCGCAGCATGATGATAAGATGTGCTGTTGGGGACCTAGCCTGATGACTCACACTAAATTCTTCCGCTGCTCTGTCATTCGCTACATACTTTAGTCTGACATCATAGAAGTCGTTTGTAGTGACGAGTGGTGTGGTACAAAACAAAGTAATCGGCGATTGGACAGTCTCTAACCAATCAGAGTATAAAAGCCAATGACGAATTTTCAAACTGTCGCTTTACCCACGTATGTTCTGGCTCTGGCCCAACCCATCGTTTCTGGACCAATCAGATGGCCCCCGAATGTGTTCGCATTCGGTGAAGCCTTTGGGGAGGTACTCAGATTCAGACTCATTGCGGAGAAGAAATGAAAGTCTGTGGGCGTAGCGCAGTGTTTAGCCAGAGCATGGAGTCTGAGTAGCCAGGCAACTGGGGAGCCCCCTCTCCCAAAAAGTTACCATACAGCCATCCTCTGTAGAAACAGTGGCATGTCCATGGGGGCATATTACAGTGCTTTCAGAAAGTATTTATACCCCTTGACTTATTCCACATTTTGTTGTGTTAAAGCAATACAGACGGAATTCAAAATTGATTTTTATTAAAACATTTTCAGCCAGCTACACACAATACCCCATAATGACAAAGTAAAAACACGTTTTTACATTTTTACTAATGTATTGAAAATGAAATACAAAAATGTGTAATTTACATAAGTATTCACACTCCTGAATCAATACTTTGCAGAAGCACCTTTGGCAGCGATTACAGCTGTGAGTCTTTCTGGATAAGTCTAAGAGCTTTCCACACCTGGATTGTGCAACTTTAGCCCATTATTCTTTGCCAAATTCTTCAAGCTCTTTCAAAATGGTTGTTGATCATTGCTAGACAACCACTTTCAGTTCTTGACGGAGTTTTGACTTAAATCTACCTCAGCCACTCAGGAACATTCACAGTCTTCTTGGTAAGCAACTCGTGTAGATGTGGCCTTGTTTTATGTTATCGTCCTGCTGAAAGGTGAATTCATCTCCCTGTGCCTGGTGGAAAGCAGACAAACTAGTTTTCCTCTAGGATTTTGCCTGTGCTTAGCACCATTGCATTTCTTTTTTTATCCTGAAAAACTCCCCAGTAAAGTGACGAGGCAACAGGATAGATAAGACAGTAGCAGCAGCGTATGTGATGAGTGTGGAAGTGTGTAAAGTGTGCGTGACGAATGTGTGCATTGTGTACGTGTTGTGTGTGTGTAGTACATTGTGTGTGCAGAGTCAAAAAGAGTCAATGTAGACAGTCCGGGTAGCTATACTATATATTCAAAAGTATGTGGACACCCCTTCAAATTAGTCGATTCTGATATTTCAGCCACACCCGTTGCTGACAGGTGTATAAACATTGAGCACACAGCCATGCAATCTCTATAGACTAACATTGGCAGTAGAACGGCCTTGCTGAAGAGCTCAGTGACTTCCAATGTGGTACCGTCTTAGGATGCCACATTTCCAACAAGTCAGTTTGACAAATTTCTGCCCTGCAAGAGCTGCCCCGGTCAACTGTAAGTGATGTTATTGTGAAGTGGAAACGTCTAGGAGCAACAACGGCTCAGCTGCAAAGTGGTAGGCCACACAAGCTCACAGAACGGGACTGCCAAGTGCTGAAGAGCGTAAAATTCGTCAGTCCTCGGTTGCAACACTCACTACCGAGTTCCAAATTACCTCTTGAAGCAAAGTCAGCACAAGAACTGTTCGTCTGGAGCTTCATGAAATGGGTTTCTACGGCTGAACGGCCGCACAAAAGCCTAAGATAACCATGCGAAATGCCAAGCGTCGGCTGGAGTGGTGTAAAGCTCGCCGCCATTGGACTCTGGAGCAGTGGAAATGCATTCTCTGGAGTGATGAATCACGCTGAAGTGATGAATCAGTCCGACGGACGAATCTGGGTTTGGCGGATGCCAGGAGAAAGCTAGCTGCCCCAATTCATAGTGCCAACTGTAAAGTTTGGTGGAGGAGGAATAATGGTCTGGGGCTAGGCCATGGTTCGGTCTAGGCCCCTTAGTTCCAATGAAGGGAAATCTTAATGCTAGAGCATAAAATGACATTCTAGATGATTCTGTACTTCCAACTTTGTGGCAACAGTTTGGGAAAGGCCCTTTCCTGTTTCAGTATGACAATGCCCCAATGCACAAAGTGAGGTCCATACAGAAATGTTTTGTCGAGATCGGTGTGGAAGAACTTGACTGGCCTGCACAGAGCCCTGACCTCAACCCCATCTAACACCTTTGGGATGAATTGGAACACTGACTGCGAGCCAGGCCTAATCGCCCAACATCAGTGTCCGACCTCACTAATACTCGTGGCTGAATGGAAGCAAGTCCCCGCATCAATGTTTCAACATCTAGCGGAAAGCCTTCCCAGAAGAGTGGAGGCTGTTATAGCAGCAAAAGGGGGGACCAACTCCATGTTAATGGCCATGATTTTGGAATGAGAAGTTCGACAAGCAGGTGTCCACATACTTTTGGTAATGTAATGTATTTGGTTAACTATTTAGCAGTCTTATGGCTTGGGGGTAGAAGCTGTTCAGGAGCTTTTTGGTCCCAGACCTAGTGCTCCGGTACCGTTTGCCG